TCAAATATGCTGCCAGGTGTAAAGTTATGATTCAGTCTGCTGAATCAGATGATGCTGGGAGAACGAAGCTCAGCTAAAAAGCACGAAAACAGTGTCTGGTGCAATCTATGCCATTTGGAAGAGGGAAGGTCTGCTAGGATTCTTCAAAGGTTTACATGCCCAGATCCTGAAGACTGTGCTAAGCTCAGCATTGCTTTTGATGATAAAAGAAAAGATCACAAAGACCACCTGGGTACTCATGCTAGCACTTCAGAGGTATCTGTTCACAACCCGGACCAGATTAAAAAGCTCCTGAATTAGCCATGATAAACTGGATTTCTCTACATGAATCTATCATAAATAAAGAGGCTCCATTCGAAGCATCCATCACTGGAAGGTTCATTTAAAGTGCAATAAATGTTTAGGGTAGATAGCAGAAATTCAATGTCTCCAGTAGGAAGGATTTAGTCAGTTTTCCTTTTTATGTTTTCCAATTTATTCCCACTTTTGCTTCTCCTCAAAGTTGTCATATGTTTTTTGTTGTTTTGTTGTTGTTTGTTTGTTTTAACTTTTGGAGATCAGGTTGTCAAACTAGATCCTGAGTTGGAAAATAATAACACAATGTAAGCTTGACTGCTGTTGTTGAAAATCTCAAGCTAGCTTCATTTACTAGTATTGAATCATTAGTATATCTTGCGCATGACTGAAGTGAATGACAAAGACGGACTTATGTTGGTGATCCCAAATGATTGGGACATAAGGTTTAATTTGGTTAGTTGGAATCATTAGTATATCTGTCAAATTATTCTAAACTGTCTTTGAAACTAAGCCAGCCACTTCCCAGCAAAATCCGTAATTTGATCATGTGATCACTAGGAGTACAAAGTTCACGAAAACAAGTACAAAACTGTAAGTAATAAGAGCAATATGTGGTGGATTAGACCAAGCTTAAAAACCAAATTGGCTGATTTGTCGGCCATAAACCTCCCCTCTGACTTGTTTGTAGTCAAGACAAAACAATCAGTTATATAAAATTTGTAAAATTTATACAATCCAGCCATAAAGCTCCCCCTCTCACTAGTCGTAACTCATGCCTGAAGGAACGATAAAATATAAAATTTGAGTATCTAAAAAATTGATCTCATTATATTAAATTTTTTCAAATATATTAACTATAAATTAATTAAATATTAAATGATTAATATATGATAGAAATAAGTGGTGTGATAATTTTAAGAAAGAAATATATAAATGACTAAGTATGTGATAGAAATGAGTGATGTGATTTGACGTTTAATTTTGACAAAGAAATGATGGGGGATGAGGTAAGTGATTGGTGATGGTTTTGAGGAAAAAAAATATGACTGAGATAAAATTCAAACACACTTCTGTTTTATTATATAGATATATTACAGATTGATCATAATCGGATTCAATAGGTGTATCTAAATTCGAATTTGAAAATATATAAACAACAGATTTGAATTCGAATTCAAATTATCATTAGAAATTATCAGTCTATATCTAGCTAATTGAATTCCGATTCAGGTGAGTGGATGAATAATCAATTGTGGTTTGGTATGGAAAGTGGAGCGGATGAAAAGAAAAATTTCATTGTTTGGTTACAAAGAAAAATAGGAGAGAAGAAAAATTGGAGGGGAAGTGTTTTTCTCTGACCCACCATTTTTTTTTGTTCCATTTTTGGAGGAAAGTGATAGGAAAATTGACATCAAATTACATTTTTGAACAAATTAAATTTTTGTCCTTAAATATATTTCTAAACATTATATCATAATTTCAAATAAAAACCTGCACATTTCTGAAGAAACACTTATAAATATCCTATTATATATATTTTTCCTATGTAAGTTTTTTGGCTATTTTTTTAGTATACATATCTATGTTTATTTGCTTATTTCTTTAAAATTTTATTTGTAATAAATTTGTTTATAAGGATATAATGATAAATTAAATACATTTATCTTTTATTTCCTTCTATTTTTTCTCTAATATCAAGCAATAGAAAATTAATGCTTCTAAGGTTCCATCTATACTACCAAATAAAAAGGAGGGAAAATGTTTTTCCTCTTAGGACAAAAAAGTCTATTACTCAGTTTTTGGAAATGTTTAGAAGGAAGACCCAAAAACGACGCCGCCTTGGATTAAGCACTTTTTGGGGGGTTAAGTTGGATTAAGCACTTTATTCTCTTCTCTCTCTTTTCTTTGACATGCATGATAAAGATCGAACCGTCAATTATTGTTGATTGATCTGAAATCCATGTGTTGGGTGCAGTTGAGGAACCTCAACATGGAAAAAAGGAACCCGAGGACGGTTGTGTCTGTTATACTAGGTGGTGGAGCTGACCCATCTTTTCCCTCTGACTATGCGGCGAGCCAAACTGGCCGTATGTCTTCTGCTTTCTTTCTTGGAGTAACCTTTCTCCCAGTAATTCCAGCTTCCTTCCCAAATTCTGAATACTTCTAGTTTGGTCAGTGGTCTAAGATCTGCCTTGATTAAGGCTGATTGATATGCCAATGAGCAACTGTATCAACTGTGGGATCAATAAATCCTACATTCTAACTCAGTTCAACTCAGCATCACTCAAAGGAGGTGTCACATTTGGGGATGGCTATGATGAGGTATATTTGAGTTTCACTATTCTCTTTCCTGTATGCATACACTTCAACAAATAAGCGCTATGCCATGGCGAAAAATTTGTGACTTGTTAGAGATAAATTTTCAAATGGTTCAAGGGGTCATGATATGTCTGCTACATGTCCACGGTAAGAATCAATAGAGATAATAGCTAGAAATCTCACAATTGAACTTGATTGTAATTTGATTCTTCGTTTATCACTACATGATGGCCTACTAGTTGATTTGTTCCATTTCAGGTCCTAGCAGCCACTCAAACGCCATGTGAAGCAGGTAAAAAGTGGTTCCCAGGTACTGCAGATGCTGTATGACAGCTTACATTCACAACTAGAGATGAATGTAAACAGAAGCTGCTAATATCTCTGACAGAATTGTTTAATCATCCCAAGTTGTTTGTGCATGGTTTGGTTGAATAGAGTTGAGCACAAACCTCAAATAATCCCTTGGCCAAAAATGACACAAGCTGCTTGAGCATGACTGTAATTATGTAGGCATATACAGTCTCAAACTTACAGTATTCAATTGTATATTGACATATGCAGCAGTAATTCTGCTTAGCCCCTGCCGGCTGCAATTAAACTTTGTCCAATTTACAACACAGCTTGTTTCCAAATGTTAAAAAATGCTCTATTCAGGCTAGCTAAGTTTCAATATCCAATGATTCCTCCACATATCATTCCTACCTCCACATAATTCTTACCAGTAAATAGAAGCAGATTTCATTCGTGAATGCACATTACCTGTCGATTATGTATCAACCTCAGGGTGCAATATCAGCCACTGTTCTTTCCAGGTCCTGTATGATTAGGATAACAAAAAGGGTGAGACTGTCTTACCCCTCAAGTAATGTATGATGACCCAGAGTATACATATAGGATGCAAGAAGTAAGCACATTGAAGATGTACTTCTTCTATCGGGAGACCACTTGTATCGGATGAGCTATATGGACTTTCTTCACGTAGTACGATACACTACACTTGCTCCTTTCATTTTCAGACTTTTATTCATTCATTCAGAACTTTAGATCAGTAATTTTGATATTAGTAAAATTCCTTCACAGAATCACCGACCAAGTGGTGCAGATATTACTATATCTTCTTTGTCAATGGATGACAGGTAGGATACCCTGTTACCACCGCCACTCAGCTGTTCCATTAACTTTTACCCTGAAATAATCTATGGACTCAAACAAACCTAAAAAGCATGACTTGAGGATACTTAAATCATTTCTTCCTTACAAAATAAAAATTTCTTCATAAAGACGGTTTGAAGCCCACACATCACATTCAAAAAAATAAAATAGAATTTTTGGATTTTAAGCAGTTGTTGGAACGCCGGAACCTAAACACAAGAATAAGCATGCACAATTGATCTTCAGGAATAAGCAGGCCCAAAGGAGATGATTTGAAGGCAATGGTAATACTCAAGTCTTTGATATCCTCCCAAAGCTGAATGGCAATAAAACAGTTCAGCAACTGCTGGACTAATATTATTGGACACTTAGAGGCAGTAGATACCACAGTTTTGGGGCTGTCACAAAACCATATATTGCTTCCATGGGAGTCTATGTCTTCAAGAAGGAGGTACTTCTGAATCACTTAAAGGTACTGAACCATCTGAAATTTCTTTTACCTTCACTATCATCTCACTTGAAGGCAACCTTATCATATGGAAGAGGGCAAACTAAATATGTCATCCTCAACAAATCCCAATCCCCAACCCCAAAAAGGCAAAAAAAAAAAAAGGAAAAAGAAGAGGAAAAAAACTGAAATTAATGAAGTAATATATTAACTTCTTTCTAGAAGCTAAGGGTACTTGTGTGGGAACTTTAAGTTACTCTCTAAGATCCAATTTGAATCAATGCTATGAATAATATGGAAGATGATGCTTTTCTATACTCACCGTATTCCAAAAGAGTGGCGAAGAATGTAAAAGATAGAAATTTTTTTAAATGAATTCCTTTCATCAATGAGTAGCATTAGAGAACAGAAGGAGCATGTAAAATTATTCTACCCTGTTTCTTTACTATAGTTCATTATGATATTGAAATGTATATAGAAAGCTGTGCTAAGCAAAGAGGAAATTTTTGTGTCGTGTATTTCTGTTAAATTAGATGGCATTTTCCTACTGCAAATGATTTTGGATCGGAGATAATCCCTGCATCAGCCAGAGAATTTTCCTGAACAGGGAAGGGAACATGCAAAACTAAATGTAAAATTGCTATCAGAATGAATTCAAGTATCCACCATTCTTCGTGAAGCTATGCTTGTTACGCTGTACATACTTCCATATTTTTTCTTTATTTTTGTTGCATTGCAATCATAATTGTTTTGCAACTTTCAAACAATATGCTTTTAAGCCTGACAGATTGGTTCTAATGTTTACCTTTTCCCTTTTCCCTTACGGCCACCAAGATAGAGTTTCTATGATGTAACAAAGTGATGTATACATCAAGAAGGAACTTACCACCTTTAAAGATAGATAACAGCAAGGTTTGTGAATATCAGTAACCGTGAGTAGTTACTGAAGTTTACTTCTGCCAGAAGCATGCTTCCAACATGCTCCAGTGATTTTATCTTCCATGGAAAGAGATGCATCATATGAAATCTACATGTGAGTTTTTTTTTCCCTGCTGCAGATTGTTGATTAAATCATATCACATGGTAGCTTCTTAACTAATTGCCTCATAGAGCACAGCGTAGTTGGTATCCAATCCCGGATAAACTCCAATGTTCACCTAAAGGTTTGTTTTTTTAATCCATTGATAAATGGACTTTGTGTAGTACACTAACTATTTTTAATTACGTATTCTGGATCAATAATAAATTCCTCATTGGTATTGAAATATGATCTTATCAATATCTATCAGAAATGTAATGAAAATAAGATCTTTTCAAGTTTGATAATAAGGTTCTCCATTGCATGTTCAAACTACTTTACTGTACTTTAGAGTCGGTAATACACTGATGATGGCAAAGTACACGCAGGGCACAATGATGCTAGGTGCTGACTACTATGAAACTGATGTTGAAATTGCATCATTATTAGCTGAGGGAAGAGTTCTGATTGGAGTAGGAGAAAATACAAGAATCAAGTACAAATCTATTCAATGTTCTCCCCTTTTATATCTTTCTATTGACAAGAATGCCAGAATTGGAAAGAATGTATTATTGCGAACTCAGAGGTAAATTTAGTCATATGATTTATCCTTTTTTATGTTATTTTATTGTTTTTATTCATATGATTTATCATCAAAGGTTTTGGTCAGATAAGAGTGTGTTTATTGAGGGTTATCTTTCCAAACTTTCCACTCCTCGAAGGAAGATATGAAATCTAGCCTGAGCTACAATCATTAATACATAACTTTGACGCATTAGCTACTTATGATGTGCCTAATGAAGAGGAAAAAATAGGTTGGCAGGTTGGATTGTCATTTCGTAGTTAATAATATCTGAGATCCCAATTTGAGTCTTGAGAGATCCCCAATTGATCTGATGCTCGTGGTTTGCAATTGCGCGATTGCGCGCATCCGACATTAGGAAGCTGCAACGATTCTAAAATGTGTTTTATTGAGGTGGTAAAAAAATATAGATGGAAAAATAGGCAGTTACAACCAAACGTCTAATGTGGCTGTATTTCTGCTCTGCTTGGTTCTCTTTGCTCAAAAGATGTAAAATCAAACCCCTAATTGTAACATTGTCTACACCTCACCAACTTTCAGTCCTTGGATTTTAGCTTCATTGGCAACATTTTTTTTTCTGATCAGGGGATCTCCAATTTTTAATTGAGATTAAGCTTCAAGCTTATGTGGGACCTTCATGCATGGATTTGCAGGGTTTACAAGAGGCTGACAGATCTTCAGAAGGGTTTTTATCAGGCCTTACAATCATGTTGAAAAACTCAACAATCAAAGGTGGTTCTGTGATATGACTAGTATCCAAAAAATTTTGGTCCTGTTTGGCAAATTAAGGCTGGGATCATGAAAATTACTGAGATTTGAGAACATTCACAAATAGCAGAGAGGATGCAACAAGTTTGAATTGATACAAGTTATATTCATTGTTTAAATGCATATTCTTTCTGATATTTTGTGTTAATGTACTGTATCAAAGTTACAGATGCTGTTCTATTTCTTCCGAACGTGGGAGGAAATCAGAGCTTCAAGCCCAATTTAATCAGATAGTTAATAGCACCAACCCACCATCCAATGCCAGCTTGGTAGTGTGTGTGATGTACAGCAGAAAAGTTTCTTCAAGCCACAACCAGACATGTTACCCTATAGGAGGGAATGAAATATACAGTCGTATTGATTCAACATGAAAAAAATGTTAAGTACCTGGGTTGTTTAATTTTGAATTGGAACCAAAAGGAAAGAAATTATACAGGTATTCAATTTAAACAATAAACCAAGGAGTATGTTATTGATTCGTTCGACCAAAAAAAAGATACCTCATTGTCTGCAAGACCACAAAGAGAAAATGCTGCATAATGTTGCACAGAGCCTTCTTTTGAATCAAGTAGTTCCAATGATGGAACCAACCCACTATTGTGCATAATGCAGAGCAAATAAGAACTATCATAACTAAGGTGTAGACCATTTGAGCGCCAATATAAGAGTACTTAAGACAGAAGAAAAGCAGGGCAGCCTTGCTACATTAATTAGTAATCACTGCATAAGAATGTCCTACACCTAGAGCCTACTCTATCATTTCAATTCTTCCTTGCCCAAAAAAACAAAAAAAAAAAGCTATTTTGCAAAAATAATTAAATGACCAAGAAGATTTTCCCCAATTCTTGAGTTTAGAAGGTTTTCACCTTCTTCAGTATATAAGCTATTACTTCTACTATCTGAAGGACCATGCCGACTGTTTGAAAAAGATAACATGTAGTTCACAACCATCCGACAGTAATGACCAAACAGAAAGAGAGCAGTTCTGCACAAACTCATTCTCCATAAACTGTGATCCAAACAACATAACACTAACCTGTGCCAATCTCACCCAACAAAATAGTAGGTGAATATTACATACTCTCTCTCTCTCTACCAGCCCTTGAAACCACAACCAAGTGGTTGAAATTTGAGGTCCACAACCACCAAGCTAGAAGGTAGGCCATTAGTGAATATTACATACATAAACAGGTTAATGATCATAAAAAAAAATTAAAAAATAGTGAAATAATTTTTTTTGAACTTGATAAAATAATTTAATAACAATATAATAAGGAATTATGAATGTATACTAACAGTCAATCATGTAATACCATAATTTTAATGAAGAACATAAAAAACAAATTAATAAAAAGAACATAAAAATAGTAATGAATCAATAAATTGCATTCCGAAAAGTGTGGGTCAAACAAGAGATGAGAGAGATAAACATATGCACAGATTTTTTTTTTTAAAAATGTATACTTAGTCATGATGATTTATGTATATTTATAATTCCTATGGACTATAGTATTAAACAGTTACACGGACAAAGCATGAATATGAAATAACATATATGGTTTAATATATATTAGATACATAAATTACTAAAAAATAAATATTATGTGATATCACATTGTAATATTGAATATCTTTATTATGACAGTTCCTTATAATGGTCAATGAAAAAATGCATAAAATATAAAATAACATATATAGTATTTTTAATCCTCGCGAAACATCTAGAAATCAATTTGGTTCCACGGACGAAGACTCGACAGTAAGTGACAAGCAAAGATTATAATTGTTGCGAAATGCACAAATACTTAAATTTTTTAAATAGGAATAGGTACACTAGGGCCGACCATTAAAATAGTGGCCTAGAGCCTCAAAAATTTAGAGATCCAATTTAATTTTCAGCCTTTTGTTTAGGTTCATATTTTGAGGCTCTTTTGAATGGACCAAATTAAAGATAAAATATATTTCACAACTCTATTTAAAATCTTATAAAAAAAACTCTAAAATATAACAATATTTTCACAACTCTATGTAATTCTTTATAGAATTCTCTTCTAAAAAAATCTAAAAATAACGACTTTTGACTTTAAAAGTAGTAATCTCCCTTAAATTCTTTTCATTATTTTTTCCTCCACTCTCACCGCCTCTCTCCAATTTTTTTTTGTCTCTCTCTCTCACTCTCATTATATTGGTTTTTTTGTCCTTATACCAAAACCAGTAAACTTTGAAAATAAATCATATTATAAATTACTATAAAATATTTTTCGCTTTAGCCCTCAAATTGTTCTGTTTTGTTGGGCCGCTGTTGATCTCACTAGAGTAAAGGGTAGACATTTCTCAAGCTGTAAATATGGTGGTTGAAGCATCTCAATCAAAGGCCAGACAGTGCCACTGAACCACATAAATCTGAATCTCAATTCTCAGAAAATGAAAAAAAAAAAAAAAAGGGAATTGAAACCTACGAGATACCACCAACGAATCACTATCTCCGCCTCCTCCTCTTGCCCTAACAGTTCCGAATCACAAAACACGCAAATAGATAGACTAGCATAATCAAAGTTGAATATATAAAAGTAATTATATATAAATATATTATATGTAAAAATATGTGTACAAAGACACACACACACACACATATATATTACATTGTACCACGTGACATTTAACCCTTCAATACAATGGGGTAGGTGCCTCCTGCTTTCTCGGTTTCAGGCCCACCTCCCAGACAACTTCACTATAATGAACATACCGCACTTTGATCAGCTAAACTTTGATTTCTGGAATTCTGTAAGCCTTCATATCTACCATTACTATCATTACCCGCCGCCATTGCCTCAAAATCCATCTCCACAAATGGAAATCACATACCCACAACATCTCCTCTCTTCCCTTGGCAGGGACAACCCCACAATTGGCTTCACCACCAACGCCTCTCTTACTGGATTGAACTGACACCTAAATCACCCAAGCCAAATATTCACTCAGTAGGCTCTGTACCTTTTCCACTAAATAAGTGTTTCCCGATGTTACAATGAAATTCAAATGGCCAATCGAGGCCATTGCCAAGGTTAAACTAGAGGATGAATAAATTGGGAGGATTTCCAGCCACCTGTTAGTTCGAGGTAACAAATTACTTGTATTTACGGGTGTATTGGAATTGATGCAGTATTATGGACTCTTCATAAATTTCTAAATGCATGCATTGATATGAACATTATGAGTTAGGTTTGAAAAAATAAATTTTACTGCATGGAAAGAAATTTAGTAAAAGGAATTGTCATGCAAACTAGAGCCTAATGCTTCGATATTCAAAGAGATTCACAGCTAGAAGATCACAATGTCCAACCAATGTAGAACTCATCTATTCAAAGCTCATATCACAATACTTTCACAGAACACCACTCATGCTTCTACTATAGGATTGAGGTTCAAAAAATCATTGACAGATTTGTCTTAGACCCTCTGCAAGTCATTGTCAAATCCTTAGCTTCGAAAACCTTTACTAAAATATTGAATATATTTAACTAAGGCTTTAATTCAATACTATATAACAACTATAGGGTGTGTTTGTTTGAGATATAATAGTGATATAAAGGGTGGGATTGGGAGAAATAGTACGTGTGGAGCATTAATACTTTGTTTGTTAACCATTTTTAGTAAGATACTAATTTCCGGATTTCTAATACAACCCGGTATGAACAATGACACTAAACCCATTTATATGGGTATATCTAATACCACCTAAGATGTGATATTAAAATGAGGTAGAAAATTAACAATGGTACTAGATTAGTAAATTATAGTATTGACCCTTCTAATGCCTATGTTCAAATCCAAAACAAGGGCATTAATGACAATTTAAATTAAATAAATTCCTTACTTTTGTCGTGGGAACCATAAGAGAAGTAAATTACAATATTAGCATTTCAAGTGTCTATTAATCTTAACCAAACAAATGATATTTAAGTCAAGTATCAAATGTAATTATTATTTTTATGTGGGACCTACATACATTGCAAAAGTCACAAGCCAAACATGATAGTATAAAATAAAAAAGGACATTAAATCATGTCTTTCACACCCAAGATGTTGGAGAGGATGATAAATAAACCCCTAATCCCATCCATCATTCTCTTTGAAACAAACACACCGGCAAATCAAAATGTTGGATATTGATATTTAGTTGTATATCAAACACCATAAAACTAATAAATTGAACTGACTTCAACTAGTCTTGTACAACACACACTAATACAACAAAACACACACACACACCCCAATACACAGAAACACACACACTAATATTAACACACAAAAAACATAAACACATTTAATAAAAAAAATCAAAATACACATACACTATTCCCCAAAAACACACATACATACTGGGTCAGGTCAGCCCATGGGTCATGGTTTGGCCCACAGGTCAGCCTGTTGGTCATGGGTCGAGGTCCGTTCAACTCGTGGGGTCATGGGTCGGATCATGGGTCATGACGTATGTATTAGTATGCTTGTTTTGGAGGGGGGATTGTGTGTTTTTGGTGTACTAATGTGTGTGTATTTTTTGGTGTATTAGTATATTTATTTGGCTAGTTGTTGCCCACGGGCGTTGTACGAATACCATTTTGCGTATAAAATGTTATATATTAAAGTTATCGATCACTTTTCTTCTTACAAAATCCACAACTTTAATAAACTTTAGTAGTTAAATGTTCAAGATTCATATTCTATTAGAACGACCCTCCCCTTCAATAGATTTGTGTGTGCGGGTTTTGATTTCTCGATTTGTGTGTGTGTGTGTGTGGGGGGGGGGGGTTTTGATTTTTGGGTCTGTGTGTGTATGTGCGTGCACGTTTTTCTGTGTGCGGGTGTTTATTTTTTTTAATTTTTTAATTTTTGTGTGGGTGTTTCTGATTTTTGTGTGTTGGTGTCTAATTTGTGGGTCTCTGTGTGTGTCTAATTTGTGGGTCTTGGTTGAGGATATTGGGTCTGAGTAAACAAAAATCACATTTTGTACACATTGTGTGTGTGTTGATTCCATGGGTGTTGTGTCTGTCTTGTGTGCGTGAGTCCATGTGTTGTGTGCGTGAGTCTTTGTTGTGTGTGTGTGTTGATTCTGTGTGTAAATTTTGCTAATATTTAGGATAAAATTTGAAGTGTTTATCATGTATTTTATTATTATTTTCATAATTTAGTAAATACAAGTGACTTCTATATACATTTTCTGTTTTCAATATTTATTACAAAATAAAACAAAAATTATCTTTATTTTTTAATTTTTTGAAAACAAAAAATAAAAATATTATCAAATGCACCTTAAGTTTTCATTCTTACACTTTTGGACTTTGAAGTGCTAAGGAGAACGATCATGCCACTGTTATAAGATTGAAACAAAGCACGATGTATTTGCACAAATACTTTTTTATTGTTTATTTAGTTGGTATCCTTTATGATTTTCTTTTAGGATGTGATACACGATTAATTAAATAATAAGGTTTGATGATGGACAAAATAGACTTATGCACAATCAACAGTCAAGTGAATGATGTAGGAGAGTTAATAAAACAGTTAATAAAGCAATCATTGGTAAAAAGGTAAATATTGAATCAATACACAGATATATAGTGATTCGGTCAAGGTGACTTATTTCATTTCAAAAACGACAACAATGGCCGGAGAACCTTTATTAATAAAGTAAGGTGAGAGAGAGCAAATGTGAGCTCTGTGAAAGATATGGTAGCTAAGAGAGAGAAATAGTTACGTGAGGAATGTGTAGAGGGATGTCACTTTCATGTTGAGAGAACTTACAATTTATAGACACAGAACTTTTAATTTTTTTTTTTGTACATTGGAAAATAAAAGTCATAAACTGAATAGAGTGCTTAGAGTAAAACACATTGGCCACATCAGCCATAAGAACGTTAGCCATCAGGGGGGGAAGGATCCTGAAGCTCAACAAAAGCATTCGTCTGTTGGACCCCAAGATTGGCCAAAAAATCAGCATATTAGTTTCCTTCTCTGAAAGTATGGATGATGGGGATATAGTTATATCCCATCACATCTCTGCAGCTCTTGATGATAACTTTGCTAGGGTGGACCTCATCAAGATCAGACGACAGCAACTTAATTGCCTCCAACGAGTCAGTTTCCACATCCACCTAGGTGATTTGAAGTCTTAGCAGAAGTTCCAGCCCCTTTAAAAATCGCTCAAAGTTCTGCTTGAATGCTTGTTGAGTCATTCATTCTCCCATAAAAGCCTGTAATCCACTTGTCTTGGTCGGTTCTAATAATTCCTCCAACTCCTGCAAGTCCAAGATTACATTTGGAGCATCTATCAGTGTTGAGCGTATTCCATCCTACAAAAGGGAAAGATCATCTGATCAAATTAGATAAGGCACTATTCTTAGCAAAGTGAACATCACAAAGCCTTTAGTTAAGACAGTGACATGAAGGTAAAGACACTAGTCATTCGGGAAGAGGATAACTATAAAATGTAAATATAATTAAAAATTATCTTAATCTTCGAGAGTGATTATTCCGATGATTACTCCACACGTGCTCTAATCTTCTTGAAATATTTGGACCTTGGGCTTGATTGACTCCACGAGCTAGGCTTGACCCATTTTATAGCTAATTTGAGCTTTGGGCCTGACCTAATCGACTTTGGGCTCATCAAGGTTTACTAAGGATGGAAATTTTAAACTGATTGATTCGTGACTTCATGTACATATAAGTGGTAGGTTTACAATGTAAATGGATAAATGGGTCACACCTTGCGTTAACTCCACTTATCTTGGATGACTAATAGAAATTAGACGCAGTCCCTCTATTTCACATCTTGCGTTAACTCCACTTAATGTTTTTTGTGTCGCATAACTTGTTTAGTTATATGATTCTAAAAACAGTTTTAAAAAATAAAAAATAATAAAACTTATTTGGACAATAAACCAAAAAATAATAAAAATAAAAATGTGGTGGTGGACGTCGTCGTGGTGGTTGGTGGTGAGTGATGGTAGTGATGGTGGAAGGGGGGAGGTAGTGGTGGTGGAAGTGTGGTAATGATGTGGTGGATGTTGTGGTGTTTTTTAAATTCTGAAAATATTGTTTTTAAAAATACAGAAAACTATTCTAATTTTTTTTCTAAATTTACCAATTTTTTGTTTTTAATTTTCAAAAAATAAAAACAAAAAAAGTTTGTTCAAACAATTTTTCTTTCAAAAATTGTTTTCAAAAACAGAAAACAGCTTGTGAGATCTAAAATAAACACGATCTTAAATTTTTATGCCAAACATCTCCTTATTACACGCACAAACAAATAAAAAACTTCTGCACCCCTTTTAGTAGTAAGATATAAAAAACTAAGGTCTTATCTTATTTACAAAGGACGCTCCATCCCTGTAACCTCAACATGCCATGGTAGATACTTTAGTCACATCTTACCCCATGGTCAAATTGGATCCCTTATCAAAAACGATATACAAATCAGGCTCACTACTTGTAAGTGGACTCTATATCAGTATATGGCGGTGACCTATTAGTGAGCGCCGGCCTAATAGTGAGAAAAATTACGACAAAGTATACTAGAGTAGATTTGAATTTGTTAAGAGTACCATAAGATTAATACCAATCACTCACTAGTTTCTCTTACCTAGTCATGAAGAAGAGAGAGAGAGAGAGATGTTTGTCCTAAACACACTCTCAAGCTGAAGCTCAGTGATCTCTTCAATGGAGTTAGTCAGGTGCTGCTCAGCTGCATTGTTCACCAAAATATCTATCCCGCCATATATAAAGACGACCTTATCAACGAGAAATTTGCAGTTTTCGTCCTATCCGACATTGCTAGCAGTGGTGACGGGGTCTTTCGCATCGTCCGGTAGAAATAGATTTGGAGGGAAGTTCCAAATATTTCAAATTAATGAGTTTTAATTAGATTTTAAATAAAATAATATTTAAAG